GTGCGGCGTCGTCTCTGAAGGCTCCGGTCTTGCCCTCCAAGCCGCTGCGAACCACCTCAGCGCTGGTGGGCAAGGGGTACTCGGCAGCAGGTCAGGCTGGTGCGTGTCTGCACACTATGTCAGTGTTACAGGTGTACCAGGCCGACCTGCTAAAAGAGCTAGATGAAGGCGAGCAAGTCAAAGCAGATGACATTTTACAACTGAGGAGAACCACTGATTTAGCCCTTCCCGCCACCAAGGAGACTGCCCGTGCTATTGGGCGGTCCATGGCAGCTCTGGTGGCGGTGGAGAGGCGTTTGTGGTTGAGCCTGTCCGATATGAAAGAGAAGGACAGGGTCTGCCTTATGGATGCCCCGCTTGCGCCTTCTGGTCTGTTCGGCGACGCCGTCGATTCGGTCGTCGACAGATACCAGGAGGCCCGTAAACAGGCGGCAGCATTCCAGCGGTTTCTCCCTCGCCGTTCTATAGCTCTGGGGGCTGCGGGGCGGGAGCAGCCCCAGCCGGGTACCAGCTCCTCATATATGGAGGTCCAAAAACAGAGCATTGCCTCTCACGCTCCCCCGCAGCGGGACCGAGGCCGGCGGCGCTCTAAGTCGGGGGCTTCTAAGGCTATATGTATGTGTGTATATACACACAGTCATTCTTGACATTAGTAGTAGGAAGAGCATAGATGGAAAACATTGCAGCCTAAACACATTCAGAAACTATAACTACAACTACCATAGTTATAATAATAATAATAATAATGAAGTACACCCTGACACCCTGATTATTGCACATGAATCTAATGCTGATTTGAAAGAGCCACAGGCATGAATTTACTCAACAGTTTTGTTGAAGCTTAAGCAGGTGTTGATAGTGCCGGAGCAGTGCTGCATCATGAGTCTTTACAGTAAATTAAATCTTTGTCATTCTTTTCAGCACAAACACACCTCCTTTGTATTCAAATGAGTCTTGTGCCGTATTCACTAAAGTCAGCATTATTTGCCTGCTACAATTAACATTGTGCTTTTAGCAGCCACCTAAAGCAAGAATTAGAATTTCATTTGATGTTTTATGCACTTTGCGTTGATCATGGCAGCAGTAATTCATTAAACAATGATCAAACGTTCTTATCCAAACATGCAGTAAAGTTCATCATGCTTTCCGCATTTTAAAGAGCTGTTTCAGGTGTCTGGATCGCTGCTGTACAGTCACAGTAAAATATGATAGATCGTGGCATTCAGAACTGATCCACAAGACAGGAAATTGCTTTAGGTTTATTTGTCTCAATGGCTATTTTGCAGGTTTAGAATTAACAGTATTGCCAACTTCAGCTTTAAAGGAATAATTCACTGAAAAATGAACATTTGCTAAAAATGTGCTCACCCTCAGGCCGTCCAATATGTAAATGAGTTTATTTCTTCATCAGGTTTGGAGAAATGTAGCATTGCATCACTTGCTCAGCAATGTGTGCTCTGCAGTGAATGGGTGCCGTCAGAATGAGAGTCCAAACAGCTGATAAAAACATCACAATAAGTAAGGATTGGATTTGTATATTTTCATAGGATATTATTCATCATTGAAGCATCTTGAGTCTTGAATTCAACACTGAATTTTCCGTTTTAAAGTGCCTCAACAACAAACAAAAATATGGGATGTGTTGGGATATTTATATATATATATATATATATGTATGTGTGTATATACACACAGTCATTCTTGACATTAGTAGTAGGAAGAGCATAGATGGAAAACATTGCAGCCTAAACACATTCAGAAACTATAACTACAACTACCATAGTTATAATAATAATAATAATAATGAAGTACACCCTGACACCCTGATTATTGCACATGAATCTAATGCTGATTTGAAAGAGCCACAGGCATGAATTTACTCAACAGTTTTGTTGAAGCTTAAGCAGGTGTTGATAGTGCCGGAGCAGTGCTGCATCATGAGTCTTTACAGTAAATTAAATCTTTGTCATTCTTTTCAGCACAAACACACCTCCTTTGTATTCAAATGAGTCTTGTGCCGTATTCACTAAAGTCAGCATTATTTGCCTGCTACAATTAACATTGTGCTTTTAGCAGCCACCTAAAGCAAGAATTAGAATTTCATTTGATGTTTTATGCACTTTGCGTTGATCATGGCAGCAGTAATTCATTAAACAATGATCAAACGTTCTTATCCAAACATGCAGTAAAGTTCATCATGCTTTCCGCATTTTAAAGAGCTGTTTCAGGTGTCTGGATCGCTGCTGTACAGTCACAGTAAAATATGATAGATCGTGGCATTCAGAACTGATCCACAAGACAGGAAATTGCTTTAGGTTTATTTGTCTCAATGGCTATTTTGCAGGTTTAGAATTAACAGTATTGCCAACTTCAGCTTTAAAGGAATAATTCACTGAAAAATGAACATTTGCTAAAAATGTGCTCACCCTCAGGCCGTCCAATATGTAAATGAGTTTATTTCTTCATCAGGTTTGGAGAAATGTAGCATTGCATCACTTGCTCAGCAATGTGTGCTCTGCAGTGAATGGGTGCCGTCAGAATGAGAGTCCAAACAGCTGATAAAAACATCACAATAAGTAAGGAATAATCCGGGCCATTATTTTTCTAATAATTCAACGGCCCAGAGTAAATTATTCCACTTATGCTATGGTTGCCACATCTCAAGACATCAATCAGATAATATATTTCAAGGCATTTTTCCGGTTTTTGTACTTAAAATGCTATTGTGAGTAGAATTAGTTTCTTCCGCATCTCATCCAACGCCTCTGTTGCTTTTTCCAAAATGTTATTTTAGACCTAGTAACGGAGGACAGAGCTGTTGATAGCAGACTTATGCAACTATTAACATTAGAGAGTTATTAGAGAGAGAGAGAGAGAGAGAGAGAGAGAGAAAGCATGTGAATTACCTCTGTGAGTCTGTGTGTCTCTCAAAAGTGTTCAGCAGCAGCGTCTCCACTAATAGTGAAACTTTAAGTTAATTTTCTTCATGAACAGTGCTGTTGTTACCTCGATTGTGAGAAATGTCATGTAGCTTTTAAGTTGCTAAACTATTTTACTGATAAAACTGATAGCGCTAACAACATAAGCACGTATGTATCCGTGTGTGCAAACTATGTGTGCGTCAAGGGAGAGAGAGAGCGGGAGAAATAGAGTATGTGCTTTACGTACATAATAAAACGTAATTTTGTGGCAAAACATGGAAATAAACTCTCGTTTGTATCCTATTGCTTACTATATTTATTTGTTTGGCCAGTGTCGTTGTGGGTTTTGGTTATTTTGCTGTTGTAAGCTATAAGTACCTTTGAGATAACTGAAATCATTTGGCGAAGTGATATATTTACATACGTAATGTGAATCAAGAGTTGCCTGGGCCTCTCTGTGATTAGGGTCACACCGCGTGACCTTTGGCTGCTGTCGAGGAGGGTTGAGTATCGGTGAAGGGATGGGAAGGGCAGCGTGGGGCACGTGCGTTTCGACGCCGTCAAGATGCTGCTCAAAGCCATTGTGGCATTTGTTCTGAGAGCTCGCTGTCCTCGCACACATTCTGCTTGAATAGATTTATTTTCTGTTCTGTCCTGCAGCAGAGGCGGTTTTATGTTTGATTTTATTGTTCATGAGGCGAGTGCTGCATTGAAATTCATCTGATTTTCTTCACCACAAAACATACTGACTCCTTTCGAACTATGTTTTGTTGGTAATTTTTGTTTGTTTTTGCTAAATTTATACTATTTAAGACTGAAAGTCTGTTCAGGAAATAGATGTTACTTTTAAATTCCGTTTTTTGAAAATCTCCCATTGATGTAGATTTATAGAATGTTTGAGATTCCAAATGTAACTGACAGCCATGATGTCACTGTTATAATTTGAATTATATATTTGGGTTTCTTTCTTGCATGTTTCTATCTTCTGCATTAGAAAAGCAATCATAATTCAATATGCAAATTACTGAATTGTGATTAGTTTTCTCTTGCTGAAGATGGAATCCAGAACACAGACATCTTGAGTTAAACTGTTTACCTTTAAGTTTCTACCCTTATACTACTAGTTGTGTTTTGTTGTCAGGTTCAGACAGGATTTGTTTTTTCAGTGAAATCTTGATCTTGTTTCTCATAATTTCTATGTCATCTCCAGTTTCCCAGTTGATGTGTCCTTCAGGCTGAGATGCTAGTTGTGACGAGGCTGACGAGACGTTAGACGTGTGGATCCATCTGCAGGCTTTATTCAAGAGACGTGGTAAACAGGCAGGGTCAAACAATGGCAAACAGGTATTTGGCGGGCAAAACACAAGAATAGTCCCAGGGCTAGCGTAGGTCACCGATCAGCAGACAGAATCACAGGGGCGAGACGAGAGGGAAAAATCCAGGAAAACAGGCAAAGATCAGAAACCGCGAAAACAGGCAAGGCAAAACAAGGAAAACACGGAGACTCGGAAAGGGGTACAGGCTAAACAATACTCTGCAGAGAAAGGTGGTTAGAGTGGGTGTTATATAGTGAGTGAGGTGATTAGAAACAGCTGTGTGCAATGAGTGCAATCAGTGCAGTGTGCAAATCGTGCAAAGAATGATGGGATATGTAGTCCGGGGTGCTATGCAACAGTTTGTGTTGTGCAAGAATCAATGTAATGGAAAGGGTGACCTCTGGTGGTGAATAAACGGGCCGAGGACCACCACGGCAGAGCAGAGGACCACCAGAACCAGACAGTAGACCACCACGGCGGGGCAGAGGACCACCACGGCGGAGCAGAGGACCACCACGGCGGAGCAGAGGACCACCACGGCGGAGCAGAAGACCACCAGAACCAGACAGTAGACCACCATGGCGGGGCAGAGGACCACCACGGTGGGGCAGAGGACCACCACGGTGGAGCAGAAGACCACCAGAACCAGACAGTAGACCACCACGGCGGAGCAGAGGACCACCACGGCGGAGCAGAGGACCACCACGGCGGAGCAGAGGGAGCAGGAAACCCCCCCGGTGAACCACACTGATCAGGAGACCATGGCGGAGACTGTAACAACGAGAGAGCAGAGACAGACAACACAGACAGAACATTGGGGTTGATAGACAAGACTGAGCGTCCAGGGGCAGCCTCCCTGGCTGGGTTGGGACAAAACAAAAGTTCACAAACGGCCTCCATAACCGTGACAGGACAGGATGAGGATTCCCCGATGGCCTCCATAGCCGTGACAGGACAAGCTGGGAGTTCGTAAACGGCCTTTATAGCCGTGACAGGACAGACAGAGAGTTCATAGGTGGCCTCCTTGGCCAGAACAGGACAGGCAGAGAGTTCATTGATGGCCTCCTTGGCCGGAACAGAACAGACAGAGTTCATAGA